CTTCTCCCTCTCCCGCTCCCCCTGCTTATATTCCCTCTCTCGCTGTGTCTCTGTCAAATAAATAAATAAAATCTTAAAAATATATATATATAAATGTTGACATTCCTAACAATAAAGTACTAGCACTTGCTGAAAAAGCTTATGAACATTCAGAGAAAATCACAAAGAAAGCACTTCAGGGACGCCTGGGTGGCTCAGTTGGTTAAGCATCTGCCTTCGGCTCAGGTCATGATCCCAGGGTCCTGGGACCAAGTCCTGCATCTGGGATCAAGTTCTGCATTGGGTTCCTTGCTCAGCAGGGAGCCTACTTCTCTCTCCCTCTGCCTGCTCTGCCTGCCACTCCCCCTGCTTGTACTCTCTCTGGCAAATAAGATCTTAAAAAAAAAAAGAAGAAGAACAGAACAGAAAGCACTTCAAAATGATTCAAGAAAAACAATTATCATTTTCTCACTGATAAAAGCCTATCCAAGAGCTTTCTAGGTACCATGTTAAAAAGAAAGCTAAGGTGAATTCTTCTCTACAGCAAAGGTTAGTCAATACGTAATCATGGGTACTTTCAATAGTTCTGAGTCAAATTGGCAAATTTTAAACTTTCAGAATAAAAATTCTTGGGGTGGCTCAGTCAATTAAGTGTCTGCCTTCAGCTCAGGTCATGATCCAAGGGTCCTGGGATCGAGCCCCACCCAACAGAGAGTCTGCTTCTCCCTCTTCCTCTGCTGCTCCCCCTGCTTGTGCTTTCTGGCTCTCCCTGTCAAATAAATACATAAATTCTTAAAAAAAAAAAAAAAAGAATAAAAATTCTTAATCAAATAGGAATAAGGGCATCTGGGTGGCTTAGTCCGTTAAGTGCCCAACTCCTGATTTCGGCTCAGGTCATGATCTCAAGGTGGTGAAATTGAGCCCCGTGTCAGGCTCCCTGCTCAGTGTGTCAGGCTCCCTGCTCAGTGCAGAGTGTGCTTGAGATTCTCTCTCTCCGTCTGCCCCTTCCCCTGCTTGTGCATGCACACGGGTGCACATGCTAATAAATATTTTTAAAATAGGAATAGATGGATGTATAAATACATATATAAAATACCAACCAAAGGATATCACCAAATTTAATGTGAAATATTAAAAACATTATTATTAAAGTCAAGAATAAGATAAGGATATTCTTTATTTTTATCATATATCACTTCCAGAAGTACCAGCCAATGCAATTATATGAAAAAGAAAAGGAGATATAAAAATTTGAAAGGAGAGGCACCTGTGTGGCACAGTCGGTTAAGTGTCCAACTCTTGATTTTTGCTCAGCCTCAGGTCAGGATCTCAGGGTGATGAGATAGAGCCCCACACCAGTCTCCACACTCAGTAGGGAGTTTGCCTGAGATCCTCTCTCCCCCTCTCCCTCTGCCCCTCCCACTTGTGCACTCTCTCTCAAATAAATAAATCTGAAAAAAAAATTTTTTGAAAGAAAAATCATCATTACATGTAAATTAGGTTAATTTTTACCTCAAAAACCAAAAATATTTACATGAAAAACTATTGCAGTGAGATAATTTAATCAAGCACTGGATACAAAATTAATGCACAGAATATTAAATTAATTGGATGGGGGTGCTCCTGGGTGGCTCAGTTGGTTGGTTGAGCTTTCAACTCTTTTGACTCAGGTCATGATCTTAGGGTCATTAGATCAAGCCCAGGGTCAGGCTCCGCACTCAGTGGGGAGTCTGCTTCTCTCCCTCTGCCCCACCCCCTGCTCACATGCTCACTCTCTCTCTCCCTCTCTCTCTAAAATAAATAAATAAATCTCTAAAAAAAATTAATTGGATGGCCAATTGTAGACAGATACAAAACTTTCCTTCCATCCAACAACCAACTAAATACAGAGATTAAAAAAAAAGACAAACCTACAAAGACAAGTGGAACAGGGGAGAATTCAACAGCATCAGAAATATTAGAAGAGGGAAAACAGAAGAGCATGGATTCATTGTGACTCACTTAGAAGACCTCAAAAAGGTAAAACTCTAAACACCTCCTAAAGAAAGTTTTTAAATGACTAGATTACAAATGGAATTAAACTTGTAGTTAACAATTCATTTGTCCTAAGGCAAAAAGTATCCTGATCAGCACAAAATTTTCAGAAGAACAAGGCAACTGGTCCTTTTAAGTATGATACGAAAAATAAATCAAGACAGGTATCAACAAAATGGCAGAGTGGAAAGTTCTAGATATGGGTCCCTCTACACAAGTAACCATTGAGCTGGACAGAGTGATTGGCACCAACTACTTTAGATCCCTGGAACCCCAATGAACACTCATATCAACCAGGGGAGTGCTTCAGGAAGAAGTTGCTGATCATTCATAAGTGAGCAGAATGTATGAACCAGCAATCATCCGCCATTCCTTACCCCAACTTGGCTATGGGGATAGCATCCTGCATTCCTGGAAAGTCTGGCTGGTCAGAGGACTGGCAGTGAGGAAGGTCTAAAAACTATGGAACTGTGTTTGGGGTGGTCTGAAGAAGATGCTTCTCTTGGTTTCAGCCCTCTGGACAATAACAGCTTTCCCAGCATCGTCTATCAGATTTAATGAGACATGACACTTTATTTCATTGTTTTTCACACAAACATTTAAAGAAATTTTTGTCAGGTCAATAGCTCACTAGGAATAATGGAACAGATCTTCAAAACGTACAAAGAAACAGAAAAGTCCTATTCACAGAAATAAAAGAATTTGACAGAAACTATTCCTGAGAAATCCCAAATTTTGGAATAACTAGTCAAGACATTAAATCAACTATCTTAAATATGCTCAGTGAGCTAAAGGAAAGCACTGACAGAACTAAAAGAAATCAGAAAACAAGGCATAATCAAAATGAAAATACCAACAGACACAAATTATAAACAAGTAAACAAAAATTCTGGAGATGAAAAATACAGTAACAAGTGAAAAATTCACTAGAGATATCAACAGCAGATTTGGACAGGTAGAAGAATCAGTAAACTGGAAGGAAGAAAAATTGAAATTATCCTATCTGAGGAACAGGAAAAAAAGGGAGGAAAAATGAAGAGAGCCAGAAGGATCTACAAAACATTACCAAACATACCAACATATATGTATCATAAAGAGAACAAAAGGAACAGGAATAAATATTTGAAGAAATAATGACTGAAAACTCCTAAATACAATACACATCCAACAAGCTCAACAAATTCCAAGCCAGATACACTCAAAGACACCCACAAGACACATAATGGCCAACAAAGATAGAGAATTTTAAGAGAGAAGTCATCATGTATAATAATATTCATCACCAATAATAATATTTAGATTATCAGCTTATTTCTCATTAGAAACCATGGAAGCCAGAAGCTAGTGGGATGACATTTAAAGTAATCAACAACAAAAAAATGTCAACTAAGGGGCGCATGTGTGGCTCAGTCGTTAAGCATCCGCCTTCGGCTTAGGTCATGATCCCAGGGTTCTGGGATTGAGCCCCACGTCGGGCTCCCTGGGAAGCCTGCTTCTCCTCCCTCTGCCTGCTGCTTGTGTTCCCTCTCTCGCTGTCTCTGTCAAATAAATAAAATCTTAAAAAAAAAATGTCAACTAAGAATTCTATATCCAGCAAAAAATTCCTCCAAAATTAAGGAGAAACTAAGACATTTCTAGATAGACAAAAGCAGAGGGAGTTCATACCTGCATGAAATGCTATCCTTCGGGCAATAATAAAAACATATTAAATAAATTGAAGCTGTAAGAAATGAAGAACTTAAGTGAAATTACCTATATAAATCAACAGAAAGACAGTATTACTGTACTTTTAGTTTATAATTACTTTTTTCCTATGATTTACAAGACAAATAGATAAAACAACAATTATCAGTATTTGTTAATAAATACACATATTAAGATAATAATCTGAGAAAAATAAGGGGGAGAACAGAAATATATAACAGGAGAGTGCATACTGCTGAAACTAAGTTGGTACTATTTCCAGTAAATTGTAAATTTAAGATGATTTTAATCTTTTTTTTTTTTTAAAGATTTTATTTATTTATTCGACAGAGAGAATGAGAGAGTACAAGCAGGGAGGAGTAGTAGAGGGAGAGAGAGAAGCAGGCTTCCCAGTGAGCAGGGAGCCTGACGCGGGGCTCGATCCCAGGACCCTGAGATATGACCTGAGCCAAAGGCAGACACCTAACCATCTGAGCCACCCAGGCGCCCCAAGATGATTTTAATCTTTAAGATAACCACTGAGAAAAACATTTTAAACTATATACAGTAAAGGGAATCAAATGGTACACTAGAATAAAGTTAATCAAACACAAAAGAAGGCAGTAAAGAAGAAATGGCATGGGGGGCGAAGACATATAAGACATACAGAAAACAAATAGCAAAATGGCAGAGGTGAATCCTTCCTTATTCATAATTATTTTAAATGTAAATAGATTAAATTACATTAAAAGATTGGGAGGTTAGAAAAAAAAAAAAGATCTATGTATATGCTGTAGAAAAGACTCACTTCAGATACAAAGACACAGACTGAAAGTAGATGAATAGAAAAGACACTCCACGCAAATAGTAACCAGAGAAGAGAATAGATATACTAATATTAGACAAAATAAACATGAAGTCAAAAAAGGTTATGAGACACAGGAAGCCCCTATATACTGTAAAAGATTCAACCCATCAGGAAGACATAAATATATATACATCTACACAACAAGAGTGCACAAAATATATGAAATAAAAAATGCCAAAAATAAAAATAGAAGCAAAAGTGGAAAATCAGAAATAGTTAGAAATTAACACATTTCAACAATCAATGGGTCAAAGAAGAAATCACAGGGAAATGAAAAAAACACTTTGAAACCAAAGAAAACACAAACACAATATATCAAAACATGGGGTGCAGTGACAACAGTGTTCAGCAGCAAATTTACAGCTATTAACACCTACATTTAAAAATATCTGAAATCAGAGCACCTGGGTGGCTCAGTCGGTTAAGCATCTGCCTTCAACTCAGGTCATGATCCCGGAGTCCAGGGACTGAGCCCTGCATCAGGCTCCCTCCTCAGCAGAGTCTGCTTCTCCCTCTGCCCTTCACCCTGATTGTGCTCTCTCTTGCTCTCTCTCCCTCAAATAAACTCTTTAAAAATAAATGAATAAATAAATAAAATATCTGAAATCAATAAACTTTATACCTTAAGAAGCCAGAAAAAGAAGAGCAATCTAAACCCAAGCCTGGCAGAAAGGATGAAATAAAGATTAGTGCACAGATCAAACAGAGGGAAAAAAAGAGAGAAATCATCAAAACAAAAAGATAGTTCTTTGAAAAAAATTACCAAATCTTTAGCTAGATTAACTAAGAAACAAAAGAAAATCTCAAATTATTAAAATCAGAAATGAAAAATAAGACCTCACTACTGATTTTACAGAAACAGAATTATAAAAGAGCACAATGAACAATTGTATGCCAATAAATCAGATAACCAAGATAAAATGGACAAATTCCTAGATATACACAAGTACCAAAACTAAATCAAGAAAGAATATAAAATCTAGGGGTGACTGGCTGACTCAGTCAGTAGAGTATGCAAATCTTGGGGCTGTATGTTTGAGCCCCACACTGGGTGTAGAGATTACATAAAATAAAATTAAATCAAAAGTCTCCCAACAAAGAAATGTCCAGGAACAGATAGCTTCACTGATAAATTCTACCAAACATCTGAAGAATTAACATTGATCCTTCTCAAACTGGTCCCAAAAAATTGAAGGGGAGAACACCTCCAAATTCATTCTACAAGGCCAGCATTACTCTGATACCAAATCCAGACAAAGACATTACAAGAAAACTACAGGCCAACATTCCTTATGAATATAAATGTAAAACTCCTCAACAAAATAGCAAATCAAAACTGGGAGCATATTAAAAAGATTATATATCATGGCTATGTGGGATTTATCCCAGAATGCAAGGGTAATTCAACTTAAGAAAATCAAAATAATATATCATATTTATAGTCAGAAGGGGGGAAAAAAACACATGATCATCTCAATTGAGGCAAAAAAGATTTTGACAAAACACAACATGCTTTTATGATAAAAATAATAAACTAGCAAGAGAAGGAAATTTCTGCAACATGATAAAGGCCATATATGGAAAAAAAATAGCTAGCTAGCATCACAATGGTAAAAGATGGAATGCTTTTCCTCTAAGATTAGAACGATGAACCACTGCCTACTTTCATCATTTTAATTCACCATATTACAGGAAGTTCTGGCCAGAGCAATTAGGCAAGAAATAAGAGGAATCCAAAGAGAAAAAGGAAAATAATCATTTCTGCAGATGTAATTTTTTTTCTTTGTTTTTTTTTAAGGGGGGATGGTAAATTAAAATTAAAGACACAAATAAGTGGAAAGATGTCTTATGTTTATGGATTGGAAGATTAACATTAAGATGACAATACTATACCTGAAGCAATCTACAGATTTGATATAATCCCTATCAAAACCCAAATGCTTTTTGCAGTGTCATCCCAAAATCCACATGGATCTCAAGGAACAAGAATGATTTCAAAGCTTACTATAAAGCTACAGTACATTAAGAGCTTGGTACTGGGGTGCCTGGGTGGCTCAGTCGTAAGCATGTGCCTTCGTCTCAGGTCATGATCCCAGGGTCCTGGAATTGAGCCCCACAGCCTGCTTCTCCCTCTCCCACTCCCCCTGCTTGTGTTCCCTCTCTCGCTGTGTCTCTCTCTGTCAAATAAATAAATAAAATCTTAAAAAAAACAACAGCTTGGTACTGACATAAAGACAAATATATAGACCAATGGCATAAAATAGAGAGCCCAGAAAGAAATCTCCAGATATTTGGTCTAATGATTTGACAAGGATGCCAAGACCATTCAATGATAAAGTACAGTTATTTTAAAAAGAGAGAGAGAAAGAATAGAACCCTTACCTTACACCATATATAAAAATTAACTCAAAATGGGTCAAATACCTATATTTAAAGAACTAAAACTACAGAACTCTTAAAACAGAGGGGAAGCTTCATGACTTTGGATTTGTCAATGATTTCCTGGATACAAGACATTAAAAACATAGGCAGTAAAAGAAAAACTAAATAAATTGGACATCAAAATTAAAAACTTTTGTGCTGAAAGAAGAACACTGACATTCAAGATTACTCTTGACCCAGCAAAGTATTCCATCAAGATTGAAGGAGACAAAGAACTTTCCAAACGGGCACGTGGGTGGCTCAGTTGGATAAAGCATCTGTCTTCAGCTCAGGTCATGATCCCGGAATCCCCGGATCCAGCCCCACATCAGGCTCCCTGCTCAGCAGGGAGTCTGCTTCTCCCTCACCCTCTGCTCCTCTCCCTGCTCATGCTCACTCTCTCTACCTCAAATAAATAAAATCTTTAAAAAAAAAAAAAGAATTTTCCAAACAAACAAAAGCTGATGGAGTTCATCATCACTAGCCTGACCTTAAAGAATGTTAAAGAGAGTTCTCAAGCTAAAACTAAGACACTAATTATAACAGGAAAACATATGAAAAATATAAAATTCA